AAATTTGCGTATTTACAGATTTATTTATTAAAATAGAACTAAATTACGTATTTACAGATTTTATAGATTTATTTTTTTTTAAGATTATTTTTGCTTGTTTATTCAATAAACACGTGAAATATAGTGCGAATTTTATATATTAAAAAAAATTTTTACAGTATTCGGTTCAGTTTTTTTTTTTTTTTTTATTATTATTAATGGAGGTGTTAATTCACTGTTATTCTGTTATTTGGTTATTTACAACATGTGATTGATCAATCGTGTGATCACCGGATAACGTAATTTAAAGTTTATTTGATGGTATATACTTACTTATTTATGGAACATAAATTTTTATCAGTTATTAAATTTTCTGAGGTTTATTAGTTTTACGTAATTCAGAAAATGCATCTCTCACTTTTTTTAAAAATTAGTAAACTAATAAATTAATTGTAATAATACACGTATCTATCACTACCGCTACCGATATATCATTTATCCTTATCGGTTATAAAGTTTCACGTTATTTGAATTTATAGTTAAAGGTTTTATAAATATAGGATGGGTTAATTTATATTCAGTCTTTAAGAATTTATTTTTTAACACAGTAATTTCATTGTTGACGAAATCGCGAAATGGATAGTCAATATAAATACAGAAATCATTAGATCAAAGATAAATTAAAAATTCCCGATACAGTAATATTGTATGCAATAATTTTCAAATTGGAATATTTAAATACCAAAATTGAATAATTTAACAAAATACGATAATCTTTTATTTTAAATACGTACGTACGTGTACAATTTAAAGTTGTACAATACTAACAAAACATCGATCAAATATATTTTTTAAGGAATGAGAAAAAAGTAAAAGTTTCTAATACAAATACATAAAGATTTTAATTGAGTGAGTGAGTTAATTAAAAAAGAAAAACGATGGTAAATAATAAAAAAGTGATATTTGTTCGTACGTAAAATTTAATAAAAAAAATTAATAAAAAAAATTTAAATAATAATATATTATACAAAAAAAAGAGTTTTTTGTTCGATTTAAAATATATCTATTACGTATGAAAGAAAAGATCAATTAGATATAATAAAATCAAAAATATACGAAAACAAAATAAAAAATATAAAAAAATATATATAATATTTACCATCAGAAGGATTTGCACCAAATTTGAATTTTTTAATATTGATAACTTTCTTGGCGTGTTCTAATAATTTCGAAGGTCGATCCAATACACTTTTTAAATGTGTTGATGGAGCTTCTTCAAAATTTAATCGTTTAAAACATTGATTTTCTTTAGCATGTTGAACAAAAATTTCAAGAAATGAATCATCAATCATATTAAAATAATAATATAAATCCAATCCAACTAATTCAGCTCGACAATTTTTAAGAAATAAATCAAGAGTTTGTGGAGGCATTTTAAATCCAATACCAAAATTAATTAAAGTTTTTGGAATTGATAAAGCTAAATTTTGAATTGATTTAATATCAAAAGTTATATCATCTAAAACTTTTTTTAAAGTTAAAGATTCTAAAAATTCCATTTTTGATATTATTTCACAAAATCTTGTTAATT